GAGATGTTTCACATCTCCACACCAGGTTGCCTGAAGCAGAATGCCTGAAACTCAGAAAAGTTCTGGAGCCTCCTTTGTAGCTCCACTTGGACAGATTGATGCATTTTGGCGCATTTTAATTCTCACAGAAATACATGGAAATGCGCAAATCACACTTTTTCTTGCAAATTTAGTGTGTTTTGTTGTGCGGCCAAGACCATTTTTTTTAGCACAGGTAGTTATTATTTTTTGTTTTGTAACGCAAGTCTTGCATGGGACATTCCTGCATGGTTTAAATACATGAATAATCTACATACCAAACTCTACCACTATGCCATGATCGGGCACTAACATAATTAATTACTTAATGAGCTCACATTATCATATTAGTAATGATCGTTCTCAGGCGGTTATCACTTCTCTCCCAAGGTCTGGTATAGCGTTCTTATCTGGAAAGGACTCCAACAGTGTATAGAATATAACATCCTTATTAGGGACATCTCACACACTGTGAAGAACATTAACAATTTGAAGTTTTAGCATTCTTGTTCTCACTCCATATTGCTACAGATAGAACAAGGTGAACAGTGTAATAACTGGGCATACAGATGGCCATTTTCTCTTTAAGGCCCCATTCACACCTGAGCATTTTGTAGCATGAAGCTCGAAGCTCCAAAACACTCAGGGAGAAAAAAATCAACATACTCTGTGGAGATGTTTCACATCTCCACACCAAGTTGCCTGAAGCAGAATGCCTGAAACTCAGAAAAGTTCTGGAGCCTCCTTTGTAGCTCCACTTGGACAGATTGGCGCATTTTAATTCCCACAGAAATACATGGAAATGTGCAAATCACACTTTTTCTTGCATTTTAGTGTGTTTTGTTGTGCGGCCAAGACCATTTTTTTTAGCACAGGTAGTTACTGTTTTTTGTTTTGTAATGCAAGTCTTGCATGGGACATTCCTGCATGGTTTAAATACATGAATAATCTACATACCAAACTCTGCCACTATGCCATGATTGGGCACTAACATAATTAATTACTTAATGAGCTCACATTATCATATTAGTAAGGATTGTTCTCAGGCGGTTATCACTTCTCTCGCAAAGGTCTGGTATAGCGTTCTTATCTGGAGAGGACTCCAACAGTGTATAGAATATAACATCCTTATTAGGGACATCTCACACACTGTGAAGAACATTAACAATTTGAAGTTTTAGCATTCTTGTTCTCACTCCATATTGCTACAGATAGAACAAGGTGAACAGTGTAATAACTGGGCATACAGATGGCCATTTTCTCTTTAAGGCCCCATTCACAGCTGAGCGTAGCGTTTTTGTGCATTTTTTCATGCGGCTTGATGCACGCTTGGGTACTTTTGTGCACGATTTGTTCTGGTGGTTTGGGGTTTTTTGAGTTCTGGCATTTTTGTATTAGCCAATAGAGAAAAAATTCATCTGTGACATCAATTGTTGCCATGTTTTGCCATGCTAAAAAAAAACGCTCTTGGTCGCACAACAAAACACACTGAAGTGCAAGAAAAAGTGTGATTTAAGCATTTCCATGTATTTCTATGGGAATGAAAACGCGCCAAAACGCATCAATCTGTCCAAGTGGAGCTACAAAGAAAGCTTCTTTTTTGAGCTTCAGGCATTCTGCTTCAGGCAACTTGAAGTGGAGATGTGAACCATCTCCATAGAGTATGTTGATTTTTTTCTCCCCGAGTGTTTTGGAGGTTCGAGCTTCACGCTACAAAATGCTCAGGTGTGAATGGGGCCTTAAGTGGTTGTAAACCTCAGACATGAAATATGAACAAATCATATCCCTCTATAGCAGTGGTTCTCAACCTGTGGGTCGCGACCCCTTTGGGGGTCGAACGACCCTTTCACAGGGGTCGCCTAATACCATTGGAAAACACATATTGCTGCTGTGTAGAAAGCAGCCTACTGTGTTGAAAGCAGCTACTGTGTTGAAAGCAGCTACTGTGTTGAAAGCAGCTACTGTGTTGAGCAGAAGCAGAAGCGAGAAAAAACAACACTTCATGAATTATTATAATTGTTTTTGTGATCACTATGCTTTAATTATGTTCAATTTGTAACAATGAAAATACATCCTGCATATCAGATATTTACATTACGATTCATAATAGTAGCAAAATGACAGTTATAAAGTAGCAACTAAAATATTTTATGGTTGGGGGTCACCACAACATGAGGAACTGTATTAAAGGGTCGTGGCATTAGGAAGGTTGAGAACCACTGCTCTATAGTGTGCACTTGTCTCTATTAAGAGCACAATGTGTCATTTCTGTCTGCTGTGTATGAGCTGCGTGTAAGGGTGTGTGTTCCTTTTCTCCAATCAGCTCTCAGAGATCTCCTCTCTTAGCTCTGTAGAGTGTAACTTCAGCTCTCCGCCCCCTGTTTTCTGACACCTCAGACAAGCTTTATAAATTCTAGACTTTGAATAGATATAGAGAAGAGAATACTGCACATAAACAGGTACAACTTACTGTATGTAGGAGGGTCTGTTTCAGTACTGTATTTCATCTGAGGCCAGTAACTTCACTGGGTATATGTAAGGATTTAAAACCACTTTAACCTCCAGTTTCTACAGACCTTCATGGCAGTATCAGCAGCAAGGAAAGTTGCAGGTTTAAAAAATCTGGAAACAACTTTTACAACTTTACATTAATAAAAATGTTTAATGATTGGGTTTAGATTTAAAGATATTTATGGGTTTTTTACATACATTTTCTTATTTACTGTTTATTCAGGACAAAATTCTCTTTTTAAGTCAAGTAATTATTACATATAATTTCCTATGTACTATTCCCAATGTCCTTTTCACTTTTTTTACAGGCTAAACAAATTGCTTTGATTAAAAAGCTGTGTTCAGTTCAAATTACAAATAAAGCTTAAAGGGTAACTCCATTTTCATGGAAAAAATATAGTATTAAAAAAATAATATAACATATATAGTACAACTGCTATATAAGCCATGTTGTACTTTTTATTATAAAAAATGATTACAATTTATTTTCCTTTTCAGTCTGTAATTTGCTCTAAAGTTCAGTGCAATATGGAAACCTGGAGGTGTTCTGTACACTGCTGACATATGGACCCCCCCAGAAATGTCATTTCCTGCTTGTATGATTGGTTCACTAATTTTCCCAGAAGTCTGCAAGTCCAATTTTAGGCACCTTATGTAATATGAAACTTCAGTTTTGGTGAGATACTCCCTAAGGGTTTAATACTTCTAAAGGGGTGCAGATGCTGCAGCTATTTCCTCGTTAGAACACTGAATGCACCAGATAATTATAATGAACTAGACCACCCATTCAGAATCAGTCTGCAAAGGACGTGGTGAAACAAACTGCTATTTCTTCAGAGCAGAAAAAGGTAGGAATCTGCTACAAAGTTTATTAAAACTCCTCAAATGTAATATGATCACCCAGAGGGGATTATTTTTACAAACATTTTACTCTTTAACCACTTCCAGTCCGAGCAAATGCTGACATTTCTCACAGACATGTTTAAAATAGAGATTTTTTTTGACCGGAAAACTGCTTCGAACCCCAACTATTATACACAGCATTTTCTGAAAGCAGAGGCCTTGCAGAATAAAATAGTGGTTATTGCAAGTGTTTATGTCACACAGTATTTGCACAGCCATTTATCAAATACAAATTTTTAGGAGCAAATACACATAAATGCACACAAGCACAATATAATGCCCAACTTTTGGTAAAAAATAAAAGAATATGTTGCAACAAGCAAATAGATACCAAACATGCCAAGATTTAAAACTTTGCATGTCCATGAAATCATGACCTAAACATCTCCATAGGTCACAAAACTGGGTCTCAAAACTGTGGCCCTCCAGCTGTTTAAGTACTACAAATCCCATCATGCCTTTCCCTCTGGGAGTCTTGCCTGTGGCTGTCAGAGTCTTGCAAGGTATCATGGGACTTGCAGCTCCTCAACACCTGGGGGGCCGTAGTTTGGAGACCCCTGCCATAGGTGATGCTTTGAAAGCCTTTATAAGTTACCAGTTAAACATGAGCTCTGGCACTAGAATTATTGTTCTAATTCTGAATTTTGCATTGATACCTCACGTGTGTGGTGAAATCACCGTTTGCATATGCATACGTTACCAACGTGTGTGTTCACATTTGCACATTAGCATGGGGGTACTTTCGTTTTTGTTTTCTATTTTTTTTTACACTGTCTCTTTAATTTTATTTTTATCAACTTTATTGTTATCACTAGGGATGAACAACATCCCTTGTTATAGCTGGGCTCTTTATTGAGAGATCTGGGGCCTATAAGACCATTGATCCTTCCTCTGCCATCCAAAGTATCTTATCAAACTGAGATCAGTTTAATCAGATGTTTGTCTGGAGGTAGCAGCCAGTAAAAAAAGAACCAAAACCGGAAGTGATGTATTACACATTGTATCCAACTTTATTCATCACAGAGGAGAGGGAGGAACCAGTGGCGAGCTAGTAGTGGGGGGGGGGGGGGGGGTTGATGGGGCCTTCCAAGCCCTGTATAAGTGATTGGGCAATGGTAGAACTGCTTGGATCACTTTTACCAGAAAGTCCATCACTAGCTGAAATATTTGATACCATGATCATATCTGTTGTCCCTTAGGAGGTACGGGTACCTTCTAATTACAGCAAGTGGTTAACAATCAGAGAAGGGAACCACCCCTCTGCCTGTCCTGCTCTTTTTAGGCAGTGCTGTATGGAGATTCCCATAGGGAAAGTCACAAAAGGGAAAGCTACTACTGTGCGCTTTAAAAAAAAAAAAAAACAGAATGCTTTTCAAAATCATCATCCTGGCTGAATTAAATGGATACAGAAATCTGAAAATGTATACATTGAAAAAAATAAAAAAAAAAAGATATTAAAAATATATATATATTTATTCTTCCTTTTACTGGGTCTGACTTGTGGGATTTGTAGTTCCTTGGCAGTATGGAAGCTATCCCTGCTTGACCCACACATTCCAGAGACTTACGTTTTGATCCTGTCGTTATCGCTCGGCATATCCACAGAGGTGTTAAACTGGTAATTCAGCAGTTCCGTTCCAAACAAATCATATTCCAGATACGATCCAAGCTCCGCAAACTCCAGCAGTTTTTTCTCATCAAAGATGGTCCTAGAATGGAAGGAGACAATTGTTTTATTGCATAAATGTTGACATTAGAGGTTTTCTATTAAAAGGGATTAAGGCGCTCTTTGTCATCTGATTACACAAAGTAGTTGCTTTCCTAACACATTTTTTATTAGACCCAGATTAATTATGGAGATATCTTTACTCAGACAGATCAAGTCTCTCTACTGAGCTCTTAGCGGTCTACTAAAATGTCTTTACAGCGACTACAGACAGTGAGGATTGAGGTACTGGGTGCAAATTTTTTTTTTTTTTTTCCATGTATAAAATGTGTATTCTTCTCCCTATGGTTGTGTGGTTTTTCCCTGAAGCACACCCACAATTATACCTACCGGGCTTGCCAATCTCCTACACAATGCTCCACTTTGCTGCTGGAGTGAAAGGAAATTCCTAATACTTCAAGACATGGGAATGGGAGAGCATGTGATTTTACCCTTCTCTACCCTTTCACTATGCAACACTGGGAGTTTCTTTAGCCTCTTGTAAGCTCTTGATTATCCAGTGATTTTTATATATATATATATATATATATATACATATATATATATATATATATCCTTTTCTCAGGGAAAAAGCAGGTGGAATGCAGTTCCGGCACCTCCAGCTCTTAATTAATGTAATAGCAAGAGGTGATGTGGTATGCTGGAGAGTCTATTCATGCTGGCTGCCAGGTGATCTATTGTTGTGGGGGTCTACTGTTGCTACTGAGAGATCTATTGCTGCTGACAAGGGTCTATTGTTGAGGGGGGTCTATTATTGTTGGGGACATTCTGTAGTTGCAGTGAGGACCTATTGTTGCTGGGGGGGATCTATTACTCCTGGCTGCAGGGGATCTATTTTACTGCTTTTCTTGTTTTCATTAACACATTCCACCACAAAATTATACTTGGTTCTATATCCTTGTGGTAGTGGGAGGTGTGTAAGAGATGGATCCAAGAGTCTGTGCTTGGAGATGGGTAGGTGGTGGAGACAAGGGGTGACTCGGAATAGGGAGTACCTGCACCTATTCTCTGAGAAAAAAAAATAAAAATTATACCTTTAATCTTTAGAAATGGCAGGGATTGCCTAAAACAGTTATTTGCCAGCTTCATGATTCCATGTATCTTCAGCAAAGGATAAACAAACCTAATTGCATTATCTTGATTGTGTGGCATCCTTGGATTACCCCGATCAGCTATCCTAGACCTACTCTTGTGCCAAAAAGTGCTAACCTGACACGAACAGTAACCCTACTCATAGTGCTAACCCTAATGCTAACCAAAACCCTAACCATTTATTTCGCAACAAAGCCAAGTGATCACCATGTCAGTGCTTTGTTTATAAACAAAGCCATGTCACACAGCAACATGGTCCAACAGCTAGGAGCACTACATTCTCCTAGCTTTAAACAGGAACAGCCTACGATAGTAGTATTGCAAATTTAGAGGCTAACCTGAATTAAAATCAAATTCAGAGATGCCCTCCCATCCTAATATCTATCTAGATGCACAATGTAAAAGGGAGACGGGATCTCTGTAAGATAAAACGGTCTCTGTTTTTTCCTGAAGTGTTTATTTATAACGCTGAGTTCGTTTTTCTACGTCGAGTCATTTGGGAAAACTGTTTGTATTTTTCAAAGAGAAGAATTCAAAGTGTACACTGGCTTGTGAAGTACAGGATCGTGGATACTCGGCTTATTAAAATAGAAAATAAGTAAAAGTGTTAATTAGTTGTATTCTTTGATTTCAACAGCTCCAGGTCTTAGAATACCATCTTGATGTTTAATTGGGAAAGCACAATGCATTTGCCATGAGTGCATATTACAAGTGGTCAATTCAGTGTTTTTTATATGACTTTTATATTTTATGTCCTTGTTCTTTCCCGTTTTCTTAATTGTTTATTTAACTAGATATTTGTAGTTTCACCACTGGAGGGAGCTCCCAGTGGCTCAGTGCTCTTATTTTGTTTCTCTCAGTGCTGCCATGGTTATCATGTGGCTTTGTTAGTAAACAAAGCCACATGATTTTTTTCAAACAACTTCTGTGTTAGGTTTGCTTCCTTTGTATGAACCTGACACTTTAGTTGTATTGTTAGGGGGTCACCTGAAATGTAGAAGTTGCTGCTTTTCAACTGCCTGACCTTACACACTGCACTTTCAGAAGATAGAAGACCGTCTGAATTAGGTAGCTGTCAGAGCACCTCATTCTGCCCCACGCCTAATAACAGTAACATGCATGTCCTCACATATGACAGCTATAGGCAGATTAGGGTGTAAAATAGTTTGGGGTCACAGTGATGTTCTGAGTTGCTAAAAATTCTGCCCACACCTGTGCATCTGAAAATGTATATATATTATGTAATTCTTACGTATGTTTTTTGTGCATTTTTATGCATATTAAACTACAGTTTCTGCACTAAAACAAAATGGTATAATTTATTTCAGGTACTTATATAGCGTTGTCAATTTACACAGCGCTTTTACACATATATATTGAACATTCACATCAGTCCCTAACCCTCAAGGGGTATATAATCTAAAGTATCTAACTCACATTCATACATATACTAGGGACAATTTAGACAAGATACAATTAACCTACCAGCATGCCTTTGGAGTGTGGGAGGAAACCAGAGCAAACTCACGCAAGCACAGGGAGAACATGCAAACTCCATGCAGGAGGCACCATGGTCAGGAATCGAACCCATGACCCATTTACTGCAAGGCAGACATGCTAACCACTAAGACACATTATTTACTACTCCTTGGATGTTGTTTCCTTTTAGCTAAAGGGATAACTGTTATTGATGAAAAATTGAAACTAAATTAAGTGCCGTGCTCCCCACAAATACACAATATTGTGCTAATATACAAAAACCAGTAATAAATATGTGATGTTATAAAAACAAATACATTAAAACCACCTCTATCCAAATAATCATTCAGCGTAGCAACATATACACTTATTTAACAAACTGTGACCATTGTGAAGAAAATCCTTCAAAACACATCATAACCCCAGGTTGACACCGAAGCGTTTTCCGCAGGGTTTTGCAGAAACGCACTACTTTCCATTTAACATGATTTCCTATGGGACACGTTCACAATCTCCACATTTTCACCTGGTGCGTTTTTTGAAAAGGGTCAGGAACTTTTTTAAATGCAAAAAGTTGCATATTTGGTTCTATAGACTTCAATGAAAATGATGAAGAAAAGCATGTAGTGCGTTTTGCCTAATTTTTTATGCTTTTTTTTTGCATTTTAAATCTGCCTAGCAACAAAAATAAACACAAAATGCATCAAAAACGCAGCAGAAACACAGGTGCAAAAAACACAAAACGCAATGCAGAAATGGGTCACACACAAACTGCATAGGTGTGAACCTAGCCTTATACAGAAACAAGTGATAAACAAAAACTGTCTCCAATGATTCAGTGCTTATTCATCCAAATCAGAGTTATTTCTCCAAAAAGTGATGCATGGTAAACTACAATACACCCCCCACACCAGGTCAACCTTGCGCTCACACCCAAGCTATGAATTTACCAGAATCGAATGATGCCCTTAAACTTAATAAGTGGGTTCACAATAGCTTAAGCTTTGTGCTATCCTTCCAGGAAGCCTTCCAGATTGCGTCTTCTCATTCAAGAGTTACATCTCCGCACAGCCTAATAAAAACGTATATGCCAGTATTCAGGATGGTTACTATACCACAGTAGTCCAAGATAGCCATTGCTGACTCAACTTGCCATCACTTCCAGTCTGTAGAAGGCAGATGTGATGTCACAATGAATAGCCCCGCTCAATGCATTTCGTCTGCTTTACTTTTTGTTTTTTTAATTATTAGAACAATATTTGCACTTTACTTACTTTTAATTTAGCATTTTTTATATATGCATGTATGTTGTATTATATCTTAGCTTGGTTGCTTTTCAAGAACAAACATAAAAATAAATAAATACGGAAATAAAACATTGTTGTCTTTTCTGATTTCCTGCAAAGTTAATTAATTCCTAAGGAAAACCACCAAAAAGCAGTGAAATTTGATCAAAAGACATTGCAATGTAAATCATATTAGCTGACTTGGATATGGGACCTGAGCAGGGGCGGACTGACCATTTGGAAACTCTGGCACTGCCCGAGGGCCCAGGGTCAGTAGGGGGCCCCATGAGATGCCGCTGGTATCTTTTTCATAGGCTTTTTTGAGTTTAGGCAAGGACACAAGGACCCCTTGAGTTGTCAGTCCGCCCCTGGACCTGAGCTGCAGATTTCCTGCAATGTAACAGTATGGTGTAATGCAGAGGAGCTAATGAACCCTAACGCTCCAGTCTGCTGAACCTCACTTTCACAGGCGAAAGCATGGCACCCAGAGGATAAACTATAACCTTCAATCTTGGAAGAACTGGGTATGGCATCTGCCTGATGTCACATGGAAGGTTCACAGCTCTAGACCAGCCTTTCTCAACCAGGGTGCCTAGGCACCCTGGGGTGCCTTGAGGTTTCTTCAGGGGTGCCTTGCCAAAAGGTCTAAAATTTGCCCAAAAACTTGTATACAAGCCAGCAGGTGGCCTACCTTTTAGTTACACAAAGCCACAGGTTTTCATTGTGCACCATTATGACCTTCTATCCGCTGGCATCCTGACAACCAATGACATCATTAGCTGATAAGGAGGATGTTAGCTGCTTGCACAGCATCCTAGTTTGACCCCTCCCCACCACTCTCTATCAGTGCTGGGGTCACATTAGCTCAGTGATGGAGAAAAACTGAGGAGGAAGAAGAGAAAACACTGGAATACTAGTCAGTACCAGTGTGCAAAAGTGTATTTGCTTTGGAAGAATAAATCACCTGTAATGTTGGGTGTCCTACATGTGTAATATTGCTGCGTTTATATAAAACTATTAGACTAGTTTTTCACATTTTAGAATGGGGTGCCCTTTTAAAATCATGGTCAGTCTTGAGGCACCCCATTTTAGAATGCGGTGCCTCAAGACTATCCAAAATGTTAAAGGGTGCCTCGGGACTGCCCATAATTTTAAAGGGTGCCTTGACTGAAAAAAGGTTGAGAAAAACAGCTCTAGACCTTCATCACAGCCATCATGAGTTAGTAAGAACCACTAGGGCACTGATGCCCAACCTTCATGACTTTAACTATCTCCTGAAGCATGTCGCACACCAAGTTCTTTAGCATGAACACCGTCTCTCTGACCATATCCTGTTGTATATTGGTAGTCTCTGACAGTTTTCTGTAGTATTTTATTTACTAAAAAATGTTATGGGTTGCCCTTTGGTGATGTCAAGGGCCACACATGTGGCTAAGAAAGCTGACCACTAGGGAGTTCTGCCACATGGATCTAACTCAACCCACTGCATTGGGAGCAGGAACCAGGCCACACTACAGAATATCCTGGGCATTTAACATGCTCAACAGGAAAAAATAAACCTGTCAGCTTGTTCTGACATGTTTTAGGTTCAGAGACAGAATTTTTAATCTCTATTGAGCCAAACATGGACTGCTAGGTGAGCTCTTTCTGCAGAGTATAATAAAGTTTAACTTCACCAGAACATTGTTTTTTTTCAGTTTTGGGTAGAATGAAGTTAAAGTTTCCATTTCTAATTCTGTCTCCAGCAGGGAAATTTTCCCTTACATACTAGTATGCCATTAAAAGAATTTGGGGTACTGTTGTACCCAACACTGGCAGGCACAGACAGCAAAAAGCACATTGTCAGAACTTACAATTGTTCCCCCACTTTACTAAAAATGTGTATTCATCTCTGTCTCTGTTAGATAGACTTCCCATGCCTTTTTACTTTGATGTATATGGACACAGACAGCAATAAAAACAAGAAAGAGGCTCTAACCCTTCTATATTCTACCCAAAAATAATTAATATGTTTTGAATCTAGTTGTCCTTGAAACTGAAGTGCTTCTGACATCCTGCAGTGCTAAAGTAAAGGTACTCTCAAAGTGGAGATTTCAATAGAAAAGCTCTGCTCTGGGCTGATAATAGTACCTATCCAGGTGAGACATCACAGTTTTGGGACACATTGGCTCCAGCCTCCTGCAAAATTCGCACAATCTGGAAGGGAGCATCGCTATTTCTGCCAGGATGGATATTCACTGGGCATCCAAGCTGTGCCTGAGCCTCGGCTGTTGCTTGAAGAACTTTCTTTTCACTATCAGTCAGTGGCCATGAGCATCCAATCTCTCCAATGATCCCACATTTTATGTCTGTTCCATCTGCCCCTCTGAGAACTTCATCCATCAGAACCTGGGTCAGCTAACAAAGAAAGGAGGACAAGGACAAGTGTGTATTAATGAAGAGCACGTTCTATGGTTAAAACCCAATTCCAAGAATTTTAAAAAATCTACCCTTGCAGTAGGTTAGGGTGCAGAACTATATCTTATATATCTTATACCATGGTCCAACAGGGTCCCTCCAGGAGGTGCCAGATCCCGCAAAGTACCCTCTCTAAGGAGCTCCTGCCTCCTCAATGTATAAAGCAGGGTTAATATTTACAGGCACTACAGTGAACGTCTGCAAGGCATTTCTCAAGGTGGGTTTCCTTACAGTAAGAGCAGTGGACCATGTCTGTCTAATGGGTGTTGAAAAAGACACTTAGGGGTGCAAAATCTGGTGCAGCTCTGCATAGAAATCAGCTTCTAGGTTTTATTGTCAAAGCTTAATTGAACAAGTTGAAGTTAGAAGCTGCCATGACCAGCTGAACCAGTCTTCACTGGATGTCCAGTTGACAGGGTGACAACACAGCAGCACAAAAGAGAGACAGGGCCAGAGTATTGCCACCAGAATCTGCCTGAACAAGGACCTTAATGGCAGTACTACCAGGTATTATTTTCGTTTTTTTGCATGTTCAAGAAAAAATGAACTAACACCCTTCCCTACCCCATCCCCTCCCCTTGCACTTATCTCTGTGAGTCGTAGAGCTTCACCGTCCAGCCAGGTGCAATGGTCCTGGGGTTTTTTCTAACTTGCTGTCCATGATGAAATAGCAGACATGGTCAGAATAGCACCAGTTGCACAGCTCCCGATGTATACAAGACAATTGTCTTTTGGCACACTGACTTAGGAAGGTTGGTGCTCCCTGTCACTGTGCATGCAGCCTTGTGCTGCTATCTGTTGGCGTGTTACAAAACTAGTCTCGATACCACCTTGTACAACCAAATAACAGCACATACATCTCACAGGTAAGGCTGCACTGGTATAATGATATTTAGGAGTGAAGATATTGATTCAGATACAAATTCAGATTCCTCAATAGTTCTCTTTAAAATGGTTTGAAACTCAATTTTGTGATTTTTACCTACTGGTAAGCTTATTATAAAGCATACCTGTAGGTAGAATGAATATCTTCTAAAAGTGCATCAAGAGATACTCCATCAAGCAGCAGCCAGTAGCGTCACCAGCACATGCGCTCTGAAGGAATGACATACCCATGCCATTCTATCAGAGCTCTGTGCCGTGCCCGGGGGCTCCTGCGTGCATGCGCGGGAGTGACGTCATCGCGGCTCAGCCAGTCAGATGTCCATAGCCAAAAAACCCAGAAGGAAGACCGGGTGAAGATGGGAAGCCCTACCAGCAGTGAGAGCATGCTGCCGGAGGGCTTCGTTTTAGGTTTTTTTTTAGGTTTTTAAAGTGCTAGCATGCAATGCATACTAGCACATTATGATATTGCTTTGCAGGGGGAAAACTGTGTTTTGTTTTCTTTATGCTTTACTTCCACTTTAATACAATTATTAGCTCAAGACTAAACAATAATAAAAGAAATCAAGCCAATATATAATTCAAAATGGGTCAGGATGAATAATATTTTACAAAATCACTGTGAAAACGGTTTTAATCACAGCATTTCCTATGCGAGCTGCACAGCTATTTTTATATTAATGCTAATACTAATAGGTTCACATATCATTATAGCGAATAAGATCTGTCATCAAAATACATAGCTAGAGTTTCGTGTACCGGCCCGCATCTGGGCTAGAAAAGATGATTGCTTAATGTCTTTAACATGAGACGTGCAAGCTTCCTTTCACTATGCCATTGTATTCCCACTAATAAGGCAAGTATTGTATATCTGAATGAACTGCAGAAGAAAGTGCAGTCTGACACTCCGAATAAATGTCTGAAGACAGAGTGGTAAGTGCTGAAAAATATAGAATACATAAATCTGCCGGAATTAAAGAAACCAAAAATAGTTTTAATGAATGTGCTTAAGCTTTAGAATCCTGGATTTAAGCAAACCCTGTATGAAAAATACAACATCATATCTGTACAATCTACATCGCCACCCAAGATTTAGAAAAGAAGGTAAAAGTGCTCGTCTCCAGGACTTCTCCAGAGCTTCCCCCATTCTCTGGAACTCTCTACCCCAATTTATCAGACTATCGCCTACTCTGCTCACTTTTAGGCGATCTCTGAAAACCTATCTCTCAGGGAAGCCTATCCTGCCCTCAGCTAATAATGGAATCTTCTACTCTTCCAACCAATCCATCCCCCACAGTTACTACCTTTTGTACCACTAGCCCCTCCCTCCTAGATTGTAAGCTCCAAGGAGCAGGGCCCTCCTATCCCTCTTGTATTGAACTGTATTGTTGCTGTATTGTCTCCTGTTATATTGTAAAGCGCTGAGCAAACTGTTGGCGCTATATAAGTCCTGTATAATAATAATAAAATAAATATGGTGTCAGGGGTAGCACGGTGTTCTAATCCGCCAGGCATTCTCCATCCCCTTCAGTTATGAAAACACATTTTTGTGAAGTCCTACAGGACTGTGGAGATATGGAGGCAACAGGAAATAAGCCATCCCTCTGCAGCCCTAGGGTAATCAAACATGACAGCTCCAGAATATAATTTACACAGGGAATGCAGGTCATGTGTGGGTCAGATGATGGCACAAGCAGCCCTTGTATTGAATCCATACCTGCTCACAATCTGTATATTACCGTTGTGGATATGTTAACAATCAACCTCCTTTTAAGAGCCACCAGCCAACATATTGCACACTTGGAGGCTCAGTCTCAACTGTCTCTGACAACTCAGTCCCCATGGATCCCTAGGAACCAAGGTTTCTGATCATGTGATATCTAGGACTTAAAACAAGGGCGGGAAGGTGAAAGGATTCCTTGGAACAGTTCCACAAATGCATGGAAGGTTGTGCAGCACTAAAACAAGGCTGGGGAAGCCCAACCCAATCTGTGAAGTGAAGCAAAAAGAAAGAGCACACCAACCTTGCGCATTGCCTCAGTAAATTATGAATTTATTAAATAAAAAACATATATACTCACAAACAAGGAAGTATAACAAGCATAAAAAAAGATCCTCAAAGGAAATTGAAGTGTAGAGCCAGTGTGAGTCACATCATGGGGGTAGATTCTCAAAATGAGGCTGACGCGTTTCGAAGGGAGAACCCTTCTTCCTCAGAGCTAGAAACCTTTGAAACACGTCAGCCTCATTTTGAAAGTCTACCCCCATGATGTGACTCACACTGGCTCTACACTTCTGTTTCCTTTGAGGATCTTTTTTTATGCTTGTTATACTTCCTTGTTTGTGAGTATATATATTTTTTATTTAATAAATTCATAGTTTACTGAGATAATGCGCAAGTTTGGTGTGCTCTTTTTTGCTTCACTTCATGTGACAAACATCCCTTTTCAGTCCAGGGGAAAGTGGTGGATGGAGTGAACCTGCTGTCTAGGTTTGGGCATTTCATAATATATGGAGGCAATGAAAGATCTGTAGCAGTATATAGGGTGTAAAAGATTTACTGGACACCCTCCCCACCTCCCTGCTGTACTTACCTTCCGGGTTGGTGAGCTGTCAGCACCCCTGCAGCCGGTCCAGCGGTCTGGGGATTTTAAATTCCTTCTCTTGTCCCTTTTTCCTGTCAACGGTTCTGTGACAGACCAGATCGACTCTGCTTGATCAGTGCTGTCACAGTGACGGTGCTGACCAATCAGAATTGATCTGATCTGTCCTGCAAGAGCTAATGGAGAAGAGAAGGGATTCCAAAGCTCTGGACCATTGGACTGGCTGCAGGGGTGCTGACAGCTCACCAACCCCAGAGGTAAGTACAGATGGGGACCAAGGGAGAAGGGTGCCCAGTGCCAGTTCACCTTTACATATTTCTCTAAAGGTGAATTAACCCTTTAAGCTTTGGCCACACCTTTTTACCCACCTGGGTATAATTTGTCTTTTCCCTGGGATGATTAGCGCTGTTGGGGAAAGGATGCATGCAGGCTGTGATGGAACATTTCTGCAGGTCAAAGTGGACCCAATATAAATTCACTACTAGCCAAGAAGCTAAATCATTTCTGTTGTATTATGGACTGTATTATTAACCTCTTGTTTTGGTTATATTTTTCTGCAAGCCTGATGAATAAACATGGGCAGGAAGCCCTTAAACACACTTTGGTGTATGGATTTCCTCTTGAAGCTGACAATCATTAAATGTAAATCAGTGTAAATACTTGATTAAGACTTGAAATCAGCCTCTTCCAGTCCCTTGTACAGCAAAGCTCAGACTAAGATAGAGAGAAATAACACAGGGTGCCAACCGCTTGTGCAGCATTGCTCATGTACCAACAGGTAATATGCTGATAAGAAAAGAACAAAGTGATGACTTCATCAGTTTGCTGCTTCTCTTTTACTGTCCAAGCACAGGCTGGGGCAGGACAAGACAAGACCCACATGTGTTAACTAACTGCCCATATAGAAGAAAAATATATTTGAAATATATTTTAAAAATATTCTTCCCAAATATATTACCATATATTTGAAATACTACCAGTTTGGCTATATTCAATATATATATATATATATATATATATATATACACACACACATATACATACACACACCCATACACTGTATGTTGAAATGCATTTTTATTACAAAATGTGTGAAAAATATTTTTAAGAATACATTTCAAATATACTGTATATCTTTAAAAATACAAATCTACATTTTTGGAATGCATTTACAAATATATGTAAAAATATAAAAGCATAATTTTAACATATATGAAATCTGAAGAATATATTTAAAAAATATATATTTTTAAAAATATTTTCATATATGTTGTAATATATAAAAAAAAACGCATTTCAACATGCAGTATATATATTTTAACATATATTTGTAAATACATTCCAAAAATGTAGATTTGTATTTTTAAAGACATACAGTATATTTGAAAATGTATTTTTAAAAATATTTTGTAATAAAAATGCATT